GCTGAGGGCGGAGTTTGCCACTTTTGTGCTATCTTTTTCTCGCTTTTTATACATGGAAAAAATCCACTGAAAGCATTCGCCAGTAATACTATGTGTCTATTGTATGTATAACGACCAAGCTGGAGGTCCGTAAGAGGTTTTTTTTCGCAAAAATCCTCTTTTCAGGTGATATATTTTTTTTTTCGATTAAGACTCCAAATTTTACCTGGATTACGACTTAGGCGGATTTTGGTGGTAATTTGGTGAAGCCTGCTTTGCTCTATCGAATGGTGCCCGTAAGTCTGCAAGGTAAACTAAATTTAAGTTTTATTTAATTTTTTTGTAATTTCTTGAATTTTTGGTTCAAGGGTTTCATTCTTTTGATACACAGCAGAGTCAAAACCCACGATCCACCCAGCACCTTGTTTGTGATGCCCTTTCTAGTGACGTCAATCACCCTATTCTATGTGCAAATGAACACATTTCTCTCGAATGTTGTTGTTCCATTACTGCGAGGTCGTGAAATTGCCATGTGAAGCATTGCTAAATAGCTCGAATGACCAAAACGTCATTTTCTTCTAGTATCCAGCCAATGACCTCAGAATATTTCTTGATTTCAGTTTGGGCACCTGGGTACTCAAAGTCCTTGTAGAAGTGAGAATCACTTAGCATCAAGTAAACGGCAATTCGAATTATTTGTTTGCGGTTTCGATTTTCGAGTTTAGATTCCCGTCCACAACGCAGTACCGTACTCAGGGACGCTGATTTGTCCGCTCGAAGTACGGTCTGGGCGAGATTTTGAATTTGAATTTCTCGGTAACAATTGAGTCGGTTAAGATGCCGCCTGGGCAATGGCTTAGCTCAGGCTTCCCAATCAGTTCAAGCATAGAAAACCCAAGAATCCTTCCTACCCATTTTTGCCTGGGCAATGCTATAATAGTATGACTTTATTAAAGCTCGGTATCCAAATCGTATAGCTAAGTCTTAGTCTGTAATAGCTTCTTGCAATCCACCAGCAGCCATATATGGATTTAATCTGGGAAAAGTCTTACTACGCCCTGACGTCTCAAGTTCTTTCCCACGACTCATGCACACATATGTAACATTAAATAACAACACTTTCTCTACTAGTTGCTCTATAAGCAAATTTTCCACATGAGAAATCTTGCGTAAGCGAGCCTAATTCGATCAGAAGGACATTTCGATGTTGTTGACTTCCTACTCTTCAAAATTCTCAATAGTGCTTGGAAAGGGCAAATCCTCTAGTCAGTTACCCAGATCTGTTGTCTTTCTTCTCAATGACGTGATAGTTTACGAAAAGCTGTGAGGTTCAACAAGTACACTGACTACTCTAAAACTCTTGGGGAGTAGTCAGGTTTTCCCTACAGGACTACTTTCCTCAACCTGTCGGCTATTACATACTTAGATAACGGATTTACAATCATTTGAAAGTCTTTGTGTGAATACAAATAATCCACATCAGGGAAAAGGTTCTTTGGAAGAATTTAAACATTATTTTTTCTGCTGTGTACTGATCTGCTTGTAAGCGACCTCCTTGAAGTTACATTTCATGAAAAATTATTCCATAAAATTTCAACGATAAGAACATGATGTTGTAAAAAAAATATTAGGTTGTAACAGAATTAATGCAGGTTTTTCACACCTCTTTCTCAAAGAGTAGGTTTAAGAAAAAATTCCATTACCATAGGAAACTATGCATACTTTCTGAAAGATATCTTCTTCTAGTTTCGTAAACACGCTTTCGTTCTAGGAGAACTGGGTTTCAATTCGAAATTACGTGCTTTTGAAATTAAGAGACTAAACCTTGAAATTCTTTGCTTTTACACTCTTTGGTCTAAATCCACCGTGAAAAAATCGGAATTTTTTGCAAACTGGAGTAACTGGAGTATGTGATCTGTGCTACAAAATGCATATTGAAGCAAATTTCTCGAAAGTTTCCAGACTGAGAAATTTTATTTCAACCCCCCCCCCCCCAAACGCGAAGCAATTGCGGAGCTTTCGCCGAGCGTAGATAGAGCAGACATAGGGTACATGATAGCAAAAAACCGGGAGCTGTTGTTTTCTTCCCGGCGAGGAAAATTCAAAAAACAGCCAAAAAAAGCACCTTTTCGTCTTTTCATAGCACTTATGAAGAATGGGTGATTACAAATTTTTTTACAATATTTTCTAGCAAAATTTTTTTTCGTGAAAATCAACTTTAATGCTGCTGCACAACCGACTACTCTGCACTGTGAATGAAGTTTGTACCATTCTACTACATTGTATAGTGAGTTATGATCTCTCAAACTGAATGTCTTTCAAGAAAACTTTTGGCAGTCTTCGGGCTATGAAATTTTTCTCAGTGAAGCTACAACGATAAGCTAATACGTGTAAATTGCCAAAGATTTGCTGATTGCAGTAATTTTTATTGGAAACGAATCGACTATTTTTGTAAAAAGTTATAATCCACAAAATCTGGACCTGCATTAATTCTGTTACAACCTAATACTAGAAACTTTTTTCCGACGGAAAAATCAGAGGCAAACTTTTTTGCCAAGGGGGTAGTGAGATATTGCATGACTTTGTGGATTTTGAACTTTAATTGCTTCTCGCTTTAATGAAGTTTATCTGAGCATGTCTGGCACTAATTTGGTATGGGTGACAAACTTTTTCTGTTTACTCCCCGAAGTCATTGGTATTGCGAAGAGTCTAGAAAACATTGAGAATATCAAAAGAGTTATTTTTCGTTGAAAATTCCGCATAAGCTCTCCTGGGTATCTTCATTTTTTGTCATTTTTATTTATTTTTTATTAAGTCGACTGTCAAAAATTCGTTTTTTGAAAGTTATCTGGCGAAGTTAAGGTTGTTGATAGATTTTCTACCGTAAAACTTATGAAGCATGTTATGAACGTCATACTAAATTAGTTTTCCTGAGTCCAATAAGTTGACTTTGCTACTTACAAAAACCTAACCCTTCCAAGAAGCGGAAGAAAGAAACTTCTATTTTTATTCAATCAAATTTTTCCCAGCTTTGAATCTTTCAAAGACTTACTTCCTACGCCTTTACTGCTACTATTCGGAGCTGAATGGACCCTTGAACAACATTTCGCCACTTGAATATCGCTCGGAAACCTAATCGCAGAAGTTGAAGAGGAAGTCGAGCGGAGTTTTTGGCCTTTTTTGCAAGATTTAGCTCGAGAAATGCTTGGAAAAAATTTTTGGTAATCCAGTCTTCGCCCAATAATTTTTTCACTCATTTTTGAGTTTGTTTTTGCGTATTTGCTCCTCATCAGTCATAGAATAAATTTGGAAAAAAAAGATCATGATCATTATTTTACTTTACACTTATGTGTGCCTCCAAATTTTGCTCTACTTGTCATTTCCTTCATTCCACTCAAAGTTGTTCTTTCCTCCATTCCTCCCCCCCCCCCTCCTCCTCCCCACCCCTCCATGTCCTTGCTATTTACTCATACAAGCCAATCTCTGGGTTTTTTACGCCTCACAAGTAATTCAGACCCGTTTCCGTCGAGATGCTCACGCCCGTCAACGTATTTTGCTAGCAAATTGAATTCTACGCGTAGCATTTCCTCCACAGCTCATTTTTTTCCGAACCTTCACCCACTCTACTGACCTCAACGAATCGTTCTATAGTCGGTCAGAGGTTCCTTGCTCATAATTTTGAGGTTTTATAAGCTCATTGTTGATTTCTGCGATTTAGAACTCGTTTTGCGACGATGAACCCTCCAAAAAGGGGAATAAACACTCGAACCACGCAAAAGAATTGCGTGAAACCAACACCAGTTAAGCTCCCGAAACCTTCATGTGTTTATATGTGCTAAGCTTAGCTAAACAAATATTCGTCACATTTTTCACTCTTAAGATATCCGCAATGGCTAGTGTTATGAAAGAGATGGCTTGAATTACGATATAGAGCTTTGAGACGTCGAGCTCAAATTTCATCTAAAGCTCTGATCGGCTTTGATCTAGAGCCGAAAGCGTTGGTCCTTTTTGCATATCACTTGAATACTTCGGAAGATCTAATAGTGAAAGTTTTGTCAAACTTACAGAAATTAGATTTTTATTCTTACATTGCAAATTGTCCTGATCTTGAAGCGAATCGAACCTTAGTTCGTTAAATTAGTTTCGTTACGCCTATCATAAGATCCTGATGACCTACTCAAAAGATCTTCCTTATTTGCAAATTAAGCGGAGGGTAAAATTTCCGGATATTTTTCCGAATCATTTTTGGCAAATAACTTGCGCTATCAAAGAGCTTAAAATTCCGAACGCCTGTTATTTACTGCTGTCGCTCCCGGATGTCTATAAAAAAAATAAAAAAGTCGAAAAACAAAAGTGAGCGAGTGTTCAAAGGTTATTGCATGGCGAAGGCGCAGAGCATTATTAGTTGAACGGGCGCAACGCGGCGCGCGTGTATCCTCACATGCAAATCTTGCGCCTCGTGCGCTCTGCGACTAATAGGGCCGCGTTCGCGCCCAAAAATATTGCGCTTTCGTCATCCCGCAGCGTTAAAAAGATAAAGGAATGTCATCAGCAACTTTCCATTACTATAACCATGTAGAAGGTGAAAATGAGGGTAGGAGAAAGCCCTTCACCCCTTCTCCATATATGCTGAATGAACTTCGTCGAATTTTTTAGAATTTTCCAGTGGTAGGCGAAGAAAGTGTAACAAAAGTTATGTAACCACCCAACACATCCCAAAGCTTCTATATGTAAAGTATTGAATCTCTTTCTTTGACATAGTTCGCACCATACCACGCGTACGTCTGCGTCGCTGCAGCTCTGTGATTTTCTCTGCGTATCTGCTGTACATGTTCTCTGTCTGCGATGATAATTGACTTGATGGCGCAACGCGCTCATGGACGCGTTGTCTGCGTTTGTGAATCATGATAAAGCAATCTATATTTTCATTAGTTCTCCACTATACTTTACCTGTGCATACTTTTTTCAAATTCGCATCGTGCTATGATCGTTGCTGAAAGGATTTATAAGTGAAATATTTTAGATGACCATCACAGCTTTACAAAAACGATGAGTCAAGAATCAAGAACTTCCGAAAGTACGGCAATTTTAGGAAACAGCGGTGGTAAGTAATTTTTTTAGGTAGTTCTAGAATGCTTAGAACTATATCAATCAATGCATATGCTAATTTTGCATTGAATATGATAAATTATCTCCATCTGTTACCTAGTTTTTGGTCATTGTTTATGATGATTAATTATTTCCGTTCCAATAGTATTCAATGACTGCACATGGAATTACTGAAAACAAATATTTATTGTCTGGTCTTGCATTATGACCACTAAGCTTCATTTTGAACTGCCACCTATGAGACCTTGTCAGGTGTTTCTAAACGGCACATGTAAGTTCACATATGTTTAACGACTTTTCTTATATAAAAAAGCAACTAGTCAGTTGCTTGTTTCTGGCATATGAAATTTGACGCCATAATTCATCTCTACGGATAGGTTCTAGAAACTATGTAAAACTGTGAGGGACAGAGCATCTCTTTGAGGAAAATGTCCGTTTAAAACATTTTTCTGAAGTTCATACTATTACAACACCCTAAGTTTGGGACTTTCAACCAGGGCTTTTTCAACTTCGCCATTTCAGGCTATATTTCTCGCCAGGCCAAATTACAAAGCATCGATAGATTATTGTCCAAAACGTAATTTTCTTTGAATTTTTAACATCCATCCAGAGTTTTTTGCTGGATTGAAGTGACTGATTACAAAACTAGTAGCTGCTAGAATGCTGAAGAAATATGGTAGGCATACGGTAACGATGTGGAAAGTCGGGGCTGCAAATTTTTTCATGAGGAGTCGTATTTTGGGTTCTCGAAGTTGATTACAGATGAAAAGAATTTTTTGGCGGTCTTAAGTGAGAACGCGGTAGTCGTATGATAAATTTTTCGGAAAAAAATATTTTATGTTTCTTGAAAATAGTGGAATTGTTCAAGTTTGCGTGTGATACGGAAGTCGTAGGACCAGTAATTTCACCGCCGTCAGTGGACTCTTTTGTATTTTCGTACGTAAAAAGTGAATTCCGAGAGAAAATCGTGTAATGTGGAAAATCCATCAAAGCTTTTACCATTTGGAAATGAAAAAGCACCACTCAGGTAGTGCAAATCTCTATGAAGTTTCAAGAATTATTTTTTCTGCTTCCTTATTTCCTGCCATCTGCAAAGCTTTAGCGCATAACTAGGCAAAAGCAAGAGACGTCAGCCACATATTTGCTCGTCGCCAACGCCTCTTCTGCGCGCTTTCAAAATCTCAGCGCATTGAATGAAGCTGACCTTTTATGAGATTTTGCTTACTTCACAGAGACAATTCTAAAATCTTTCGAGTTCCAGAAGTTCTCCTTGAAAAGTTACTCATGTGTTTCAAATCAATCAAAACAGTATTTGAGCATACGTTCTCCTCAGGCTTAAAAAAAAGTGTTTGGTTTTACTTTTCGTAGTTTTTAGAGTTTGCTCAAAAACTCTTTATATTTCACTCAGATTTCACTTATTCATATCATTTCCATAACTATATCTTTATATCTTTATTGATAAATAAATTATTATAATTATGTTTTTGCAGAAAAGTTCTGTAGACTTTTTTGGAAAAAGGTAGCTTCTTAATATTTCAAACAAACTGCATAACTTTTGATTTTATGGTCAATCAAAAAAGATAAGATGAGTTTCAATATTCTGAAAGTCAGAGCCAGGGTTCGGCACAGCTGGCACCTGGTCCAAAGGGGCTATCGTTTTTGTCGCCAAAAAGACACAAAATTGTCTATGTTTTTCTTAGTTGATGTTTCGTTTTTAGGGGTTTTTATGTTTAGGATTCAGGGTCCAAGGGGATTTCCTACCCAGGTCGTGTCGAGGCCTGGTCACAGCTTTCGCGCCAGTCAAATATCTTCTGATCATCTTGTTTTCCTTTTCGGTGCTTCACTTCTGAACATAGGGAAAAAAACCAACCAATGCTCGTTCTCTATTAATTAGCACAATGTCCTGTTTCAGATCTGGAGAGGAAAGATTCAGGCGATCAAAGTCTTGGTTCATTTGTTGACCGTGAGTTTTGTATTTCTATTGATGTTCAAAAATGCTATACTTCCTCGTACTTTGCAGGACAATCTTGTCTCAAAAAAAAATCTACAGCTTCAGCATTTTCCATTTTTTTCCTTTTTTATGGCTCTGAAATTTTGCATATGGTGTTTTCCTCTTATTGTTAGCTTCGTTTCTTCAAGATTCAGCTCAATGCACAAGTTAGAATAGTGTTGACGGGAGTGTGTTCAGTGAATCAGATTATTCAATCTTCAATGCTTACACGAAACGATGCACGACGAACACATATACGACAATGGCAAAACTATCAGAACAACAAGGCTGTTAGCTTCTCAAGGAAAGAGTGGTTTTAGAAGGAGCATATTGGGGATCTGATACAAAAAATTTTTAGTATCACACTCGGAAATTCTCGCTTTTGTAAGGGTATCCCAAATAGATGTGCCTACTGTCTGACAATTAATAACTCTCATGTGATGAAGTCTTTCTTTTAGGTACAGTTTTGTAGAGCTGGCTTCAACTTAAATTTGCCGTATGGCATGAACGCATGAATTAAGAATCTATCTTCATTACTATAGGAACACGATAGGAACTTGTAGCATGAAAGAGCATGGCGCCACTGCGAAAAGGCCGTTTGAAGAAAAATTTCCAAAAAAATCTGAAAATTAGTGTAACAAGGTTATTATGCATGCTGATTTCAGTGCACAAATTTAGCTTTCGCAGAGTTTTTAAATGGCCTAATCAGATGTTTGACGAATTGCAAATATTGGTTGTTGTGGCATCTCTGGCTAGATCTATGAAAAATGCCTTACGGTGAAGTGTGAGTTTCGAGTTTGGAATCAGCGGCTCCGATCGACCTAGTGTAGGGGCCTTCAGCTTTTTTGGTTCTATTTTAGGAATGAAATATGACCCTTATTTCTCAAAACCTTCCTCAAATTTCTTACCGTGATCCCACTGTAAGGAAGAGGGATTTTTGAATTTCATCATACTGTAAAGATAAGCTGAAACCAATTCCACTGAATGACACCCTAAATGCGCGTTTTGTTTTGTTCTTGTGAGCTAGGAGCGGAGTTTTGTGATGGTTCATGAAATTTTTTGAATGCTCTGGAAGCAATGTGACCTGACCAAAGAAAAAAAACTACCGCTTCTAGAGGAATTCAACAAATGATAATGGTGCAATAGGACATGAAAGCATTTCATTGATTTCCCTGTTAATAAAATAAAAGCACGGTTATATGTTTTATAATTGCTCAGTATTGTTTTTCTATTTTTTCAAAAACTGGAGCACTATAAGGCTGCTGTCAAGTTCCCATTCCGAGCGATCAGGGCTCGGCACGAGCTGGCACCAGGGAAATTTTAAAACGAAGCCCCGTTTGATATTGAAAATTTCGTACGAAGTCCTTTTTGACCTGTTTTGAAAACCCGTCATCATTTTTATATTATGTAAAAAAATGTAGTAGTGTTTTCATGCATTTCTGATTTCATGAAAGACTTTTCACAGCTTTCTGAGCTTTTTAAGTGGTCGATCCACATCTTAAGGAGCAGAAAAAGCCGATTTTTCGACGGCGGAGCGGACCGAGTGGTTTTCAAATTGAAATAAAACGCTGAAAAGAGAACATTATGAAACTGTTTCTTCTCCGTATGTAATCTTTTACAGTGTAGATACATTTTATGTAAAAAAGTATGAAAACTTATGTGAGCAAAGTGTCGGTGCCAGCTCAGCTGGCACCCAGCTGGCACGGTGCCAGCTAATTCAGAAAAAAGTTCGGCACAGCTTTCATGCACATAAGATTTCATAAATTTTTGGCCCGTAGTTCCGGTCCACCAACGCGCATGCACACACCAAATTTGGTGTCATACTATTGCGTTTTGGCTGAAAACAACGCCTTTGTTTGTTGATGGACAGCTTGCCAATGGCATGCCGGCGGCATTTTTGCGGCAGTTCTCCGCCTCGGCTCTGTAGAAACGATATCCTCTTTGCTTTCCGCGCTAAAAACGATATTCAGCTTGACCCGGTGCCAGCTGTGCTGAGCCCTGCGAGCGATACCTGTTGATATCTCCACATATTCTTCAGTGAATACTCATGCGTTGAGCGAATGAACTCAAGTCTAGACGTTGGTACCAATACCTAATTTCAGAACAGGAAAGCACTTCTCTGGTCCCTTACGGCTGAAGAAGCCTGAAGGGCCTTTGATTGATCGTGTCTATGAACTTGATACGGATAGAAACAGTTAATGTCTATTGACTGCTTGCAGACAAAAACCTTGTCAGTAAAGGTTAAATGGACTGACCCGATGCACTTCAAAATCACTTTGCATTATTAAATTTGGTAATCAATCTCCTTCTTATGCTTGAAGGCACTTTCAAACAAACATGAAGCACTATGAGGCCTTTTCAAAATGATTTCTTTGCTTTTCAATTATTTAAAATTTCCTCAACAAACTACTGGTAACAATTCAGGCCGCCTCCAGTTCAACTTTGTTCCCTTGTTTGGCAGCTATGTTTCAGGCAAGCCTAGTTTGGAGAACCCAGGAATTTCCCAGAATTTGTAACCCATCTACCCTTTTAACCTGCCCAAGCTTCACTAACTTTTTTTTACAATGAACTTTGCGGAGTTCAGACCATGAGAAGCAGTTCGTGCACTGTAACTTGCTATTCTACCTTTCAGCTCTCCAAGATTTTGAAAAATTACCAACTTCAGAGAGTTTCTAAAATTTAACTGCAACTTTATAAAAAATGCCAGCGCAGAATAGGCCCTAATCTGAATTTATGATCGCTTATAAAACTGAAAAGAAAATTTTCTATATGTACTGGTACGGTTCATTTCAATAGAGGTCTCTCATCGGAACGACCGCCTCGCCAGTGCTTCGCGCCGCGTGTGCAATCGTACGTCATGGACATACTGACTATTTTTATTTAACGGAAATTGGTACTCAAGACTTCGCACTGCAGAAGCGCATCTCTGAGAAAAAGGACATTTGATATATACAAAATGCAAATGATCTCAATGGTCGGATTTTTCAAGCTACAGAATCATAAGTCAGCAGTCCCAGATCATCTGAGTTCATAGGAAGGTCCCGGAGTCAGCTCAAACTGAGTTGTAAAACCGTCCTTGCAGGTCTTTAACGACAAGTGGTTAGTTTAGCATATGTTCGTCAATGCAAAATTTGCCCGAAAACACATTTATGTGTGAAAAATGCTCAAATCTATGCATGTGCTGCATTTCAAAATGCTCTTTTCAATGCCCATTTCTTTTAAATCTTTTCAGATGACGCCCGTCTTCGCGAAAAGCAGTTTCTGCTTTCCTGTGAAAGGGGAGATATCGGTAGTGTGCGGAAGCTGCTCGCTATCAAAGATGGACTCAACATCAATTGTGTGGATCCATTAGGAAGGTATCATTGCACTGGTCTTCTGCAAATGACAGATTCAAGATTATTAAGTAACGGCAGCGGATCCAAAGCAATTGCATTTCCAAACAACTGCCTTGGCGGCTGGAAGGCGGGGCTTTGTAACCTAATTAAGGCCGCAACGCAGTCTGCGCCTCTCCCGCGCGCATGCGCTCTGATCATTACCTAACATTAATTAGGTCACGAAACTCCGCCTTCCAGCCGCCAAGCCAGTTTAATCAAAGGTTAAACACGTTCGCAAAATGCTTTTAGTATATCTGAGGGAATGGAAAATCAAAACAGATACAGTATGATTACCGTAACTTTCCCAAAGCTGTTATTTTCCACTCAAGATTGTGTATACCCACGGCATAATAAACATTGGCACTGTTTGTACCTCTTTTTGACAAGCGGTTATATTCTGTAAAATATGCGAGTTTGAAAACGTAGAGGCTTTGCGTTCACTAGAATTTGATTAGGATTTTGAAGATTTATGAGCAGCTGCTGGTAAAAATCCTATTTTTCCGGCTAACACGCTCTTCTCAATATATTGCATTTGCCTTTCAACATAAATCGAAAATTTTCTTCTGACTTTCTCATACCATCGTTTCAGGAATGCTCTCTTGATTGCCATCGAAAATGAAAACATCGAAATGATTGAGCTTCTTCTTGACAATAACATAGAGGTAATTTTTCCTATAGCTCAAAATCCATAGTTTTTATCGGTCCGAGGTGTTTACCTTCTATCTTTTATTTTTCTTTGAGAGTTCCCGATTTTCAGACCGGCGATGCAATTCTCTACGCTATTGGCGAAGAAAATGTCGAAGCCGTTGAGATAATCATCGAACATCTGGAAAAGATTGATAAATTCAATCCTGAGGTGCACATTTCGTTCGCTCCGGTTGCTAACCATGTCAGCGTTTTCTTTGCAGAACCAAGGTGTCGATATCAATGAGCATTCGGCTTTTACACCCGATATCACGCCAATCATCCTTGCTGCTCACAAAGTGAATTTCTGATTTCTTTTTCAACCTTCTTTTCAGAAATTATTTATTTTAGGATAATTATGAGTGCATCAAGTTGTTTCTGGACAAGAAAGCCTCTATACCACGTCCACACGATGTGCACTGTTGTTGTCATGAATGTGATGCTGTAAGTACTTCGGCCTCTTTTGCACGCATGTACTGTATGCTACCGTATATACTCGTGCGGCCACAAGGCAAAGTTAGGAACGCATCGTTACACATTTGGAGATTTTTGGTCAAATAGAAGAGTGTTAGTGCAAGTGTGCACTAATGCTGTGTACTGTAGTGGTGTATAAGGACCGCGCTGGCATACTGTAGCGGTGTATAATTTCCGTATGACCCTATCAATCAGTAATTTTGCAGGCTAGAGAGGAAGATTCGTTGCGGTTGTCACGTTCAAGAATTAACGCCTACAGAGCGCTAGCTTCACCATCGTTTATTTGTCTTTCGGCTAAGGACCCAATACTGTACGCCTTTGAGCTGTCGTGGGAACTTCGAAGGCTATCCTACATAGAAAATGAGTTTCGGAGTGAATATCAGGTAAGCAACACTTTTTTCTCTTATTGAAGAAAAAATCATAACATCCAGATGTTTTACTCAGAAAAAATTAAGTAGTTTGTTGGCAAGTAGAAAAGTTCTAGACTGATAAATTTTTCAAAAAAGTATAGAAATGAGATCAAAAACCGTTTTGAAAAACTCTTCTATCCGGTATGTGTCATTGCAAATGTCAATAATCGCAAATGATTCATAGCTATTCGTATATGTCTCCCAAGATAAATGTCAAACAATTTAGGAACTTTCCCAAAAATGCCAGAAATTTTCTGTGCACATGCTGGATTTGGTCCGTGGCTCGAAAGAGCTGGAAATTGTCCTAAATCATACCACAACAGCCTGGGAAGAAGTGAGTTCCCTTGATCTCTTTTACTCTACAACAATCGTTTAATCATTTAGGTGACTACGAGAAGCACACCAACAACCGAACAACTAGCAAGATTGAAACTCGCCATCAAACTGCGGCAGAAAAGGGTGAGTTCCATGATTTTGTGAATTTTCATCGTTCGACTCCGAGAAATGTACAGTTTTTAGTTCGTGGCTCATCCAAACTGTCAACAACTTCTTTCTGGCCTCTGGTATGAGGGTTTGCCCGGGTTTAGAAACAGGAATATTGTTTACAAGGTTGGTGCCACACAATTCCGGGATTTTTAAGATTTTTAAAAGAAGTATCAAACAGGAGCATTGAGGTAAATAACTATAGAGAGGTTAAGCAGCAAAGCTGATAGAAAGACTTGCAACTTTTTTCGAATCTGCGTGATTCTTTGGTTCCGCGGCATAGACCGACCGCTCCCAAAATTTCCTTGCCCAACAAGAGAACTTTTTTTTGCTTTTGAGATACTGGACCATTCAAAAAAAATAGTTACAATGTTACCAGCGAAATTTGTAAAAGTATTGCGTTTTGATCCAAACAGAGATATGATTGCATCAGATACCTCAAGATTTTATAAAATCGAAAAAAAAAAACCAAAATATTTCCAATTTTCCTGATCCTATTTTAGTGCCTTCTGATAGTAGTGGTATCGCTATCATTCCCAATACTTTCGATGTCGTATTTAATCGCTCCGAAGTCGTCTATCGCTCAATTTACGCGGAAGCCTTTTATCAAATTTCTCTCGCATTCCGCCAGTTATGTTCTATTTTTGTGTAAGTTTCCTGTTTTCGTCATCTCCTACTCTCTCCCTTCCCCCAAATGGGTCTGTTTTAGTATTGTTAATAATGGCCAGTCAAAAGATAGATTTGGTCGACAACTTTTTTCGTGAGGAAAACGCCCCGGATCGGAAAGAAGGTCGAGGACCTCCTCCCACTCCCGTGGAAATTGCGATCATGGTTTGGGTACTAGGTGGGTAACCATTCCAATGTTTCCCCTTATAAAAGCATGAGCAGAATTTTCAGGGCTGATATGGGTAGAGATCAAACAGCTTTGGGATTCTGGCTTTCACGATTATTGTCACAATTTGTGGAATATTCTGGATTTTATTACCAATTCTCTCTATCTCTCAACAGCTGCTCTCCGGCTAGTTGCTTACTATCAGGTAAGATTACACTCTCGGCTTCAATCATGCGATGGCCCTTTTGCACCGCTACAGTATGAGATGTACAGTAAGCTCAAGCGCTATGAGTGACTTAGACTTACGTTGCCCTGGCTTCATTCGCACCTGAGAAAAGTCCTGTCTTTGCATGCAATATCGTTTTTGACTTTCGGAACGGTAGCAGTTACGGTAGCCCTACGGCAGCCACATAAAAGTGTGCGAAAGTGTCGTAGCCCCCTTAGATACTTTACAGCGTTCTTTTAGGTTGACAAAGAGATGAAAGATCCACGAATGCAGCATATTGGCCGTTTCCTTCAAAGGTAAGCATCATAACGTTTTACATAAATATTAAGAACGTAAGAATAAAATTCATTTAGGAGAGACTGGGATGCCTATGATCCCACTTTAGTCAGTGAATGTGTTTTTGCCACTGCCAACATCTTCTCATCGCTAAAACTCGTCCATATATTTACGGTTAATCCACATCTGGGACCACTGAAGATTTCATTAGGTATGTTCATCTGAACTGCATGAATGAGAAACTCACTTTTTTTTTAAATTTCAGGTCGCATGGTTATCGACATTTTAAAATTCTTCCTTGTATATGCTCTTGTTCTGTTCGCCTTTGCATGTGGATTAAATCAACTTCTTTGGTACTATGGGGCAATGAGGCAACAGGTGAGGATTTTGGGAGGTCAAAAAAATCAATTTTAAAATGCGTATTGTAGGAATGCGAACAGTACACAAAGTGGATTGCTAACCCAAGTCCGGTTGTAAACGCTGCCAAGATGGAGACTTTAAAAGAAAGCTGTGATATAAAATACAGAAGTGTATCGAGGTAAGGATTTTTTTTTTACTTTTTTGAACTTCAAAATTCCTTGTTACTAATATTTTCCCTTTTCAGTATTTACCATACTTCCGAAACATTATTTTGGGCGATGTTTGGTCTAATTGATCTTTCACATTTTACGCTTAAGGTACGATCGTTCAAGAATACTGTATCCAAGACGCAGAGTGCACGGTCTGCAATCAGTGAGGCGGCGCGGTTTTAGCTGTCTGCGTGTCTTCTCTCCACATAGTCTTTCTGCACTCAAAGGCGTCAAACCGCGTCGCCAGAGTCAATGCAGATCGCGCAGGACTCGATATAGTTGTACAGTAGAGTGATCGATTTAACTGAAAAATTTCAGGAAAATCACACTCTCACGGAATGGACCGGAAAAACAATTTTCGGCAGCTACTCCTGTTGTTCTATTATCGTTTTGCTCAACATGCTTATCGCTATGATGAGCAATTCCTATCAATATATTTCTGTAAGTTCTTTATTTCCATTTTATCAAAATATACGGCTTACAGTCTTATAAGGGGTAAAAGCTAGTGTTCGTGCATTGCCGACAACATATGCGCGTAAAAAAACACCCATAGGGCGCAGAAACTGAAAAAGTCCGCTCCATTGCCATTTTTTACGCGCAATCGTTGTCGGCAAAGCAGTTGCACTATTTCTAGCCGTCAAGCTTAATAGACTACAATCACTTAAATGATTTGAACACCATTTCAGAACCAAGCAGATATTGAATGGAAATTCGCTAGAAGCAAACTCTTTATCGAATACTTTGATGACACTGCAACCCTGCCTCCTCCATTCAACATCATTCCTAGTCCAAAGAGTTTCTATTATGGTAAGAAAGACTATACCTCTGGTACCCTAGCACAGCCATTGTGAAAAAGTTCCAGGTCTAAAATGGCTCTGCGATAGGTACTGTGGTTGCTCCAAGGCCATACAAGCAGGAAAACAAAGAAGTATGAGGGTAAGGTTGACCACGGGTGAATAAACTTCTCACAGTTAAACTGTGCGATTATAGAGTATACAATTTGTAGAATTTAAAAAATGTGCTGTGAATTAAGATAGTTCCTTACAACAATCTATCCCTCCAATATTCTATAATTTTTCAGAATCAAAGAATTCTTCGCGTTGTCAATGACCTCGAAAGCAATTATCGAGTAAGTTAAACTATGATTGATTCAAAACTTTTCAGCGTACACTCACAACGATAGGCAGATTAGAGCAGAATTTTATGGTAATATTTCTTAATGTATAAATGTCGTGAAATGCATGGAAGGGTAATTATCAAAGGAGTGATCTTGAGTTCAAAATTTTCAGTGAGAAGCCCTTCAGATAGCGAAAAATTGTAAAAATGGTGTCACGTAAAAGTGTGTTGGCTCATTATGAAACCAGATTTAAAATATTTTACTTATTCGAGCGCGGAAGCAGAACATAGAGGCCGAGGAGGCCCAAAGCCTGGCGCACGCCGCCCCTCAGGCTAACCCCGCCCACTCAAAACAACCGAAGCGGTTACGTTCACGTTTCGCAAATCAAACACCATTATTCGTACCCACCACAATCAAAAATCGGAACAACTTGGTTTCATGTTTTGAAAGCCATATAGGGTTCAGACAAAGAAGATTTGGAAATGTCAAACGTTCTGAGTTGTACCGTGATAGCGTCAACAATTTGAGTTTACCCTGATGTAATATCATATGTGCAAATGACATCGATAAGATAGTGCTAAGCGTTTACATTGCCAAAAAATTCTTTTTGCAGTTTGTAACGCGGAATCTCGTCAAAAGATATATTGCTCAAATGCAGCGGACTAAACAACAGAATGAAGGTGTTAGTGAAGACGACGTCAATGAGATAAAGCAGGTAAGATATGTGTTCAAAAATACTTTGCCCGAAATCATTCCAAATATCATAAATGGCTCATTTTCAGGACATCAGCGCATTCCGTTACGAGTTGTTAGGGATACTACGTGCTGCCGGTTTCAACACAGGGCACACGGATATGAACCAAAAAACCTACAGTACGTCAGCCACACTATCATTTGCTCGGAAAATATTACTTGTAATCGCTTAGAGTGCTTGCTTTCGGTAATTCGAGATCCGAATAGTAATTGCGCATTTGTCTTCTCACTCATAACGATCACGGCAATGAATTTCCAACATTTTCAACATCTTACGCCTCTAGAGTGTACTTCTACGATTCCCCTTTAATGGATGAAATAGAACAAGAATATTTCAGCTCGAAATAAGAGACGCAGTGCTATGGCCGAGCGGCGACTAAAAAAAGGTCTTCCTGAATTTGATATACCGATACCAGAAAGCTTTCAAAATGCCCGAAGGAACAGCTTATTGTCACTGGCATCGATAGACAGCGGGTGAGCTCTTTCCACAATGCTAAGGAAATACTTGAAAGATGATAAGTTGACGAAATGTTTTTTTTTGCAGTTTGACCAAGCCACCGATCCGCCTGCCACAACTGAACTGGAGACGAATCAAGAAGAAGGTCAGATTTTTCCTTTGAATCAGTAATCGAGCTTAATTGGATACCTGATTTCTTTTGTGAAGGTTAGTTGGAAGGTCTTAAGTGAGCCCTTACCCAAAAGGCAGCTCACAATTGAATTGTGGCCGAGAAGTTGATATCTAAACTTCAGCCCAGATGTACACCTCCTTTGCTACCGTACCCGCGAATACCATCTGGGCTTGACCCTGACTAATCGATTTTTTCGGCAAATTCATGAGTAGTTCAACAGCTTAGTCGAAAATATGATATACCTCCTGTACTTAGGAAATCCAAGAACCAACTTCCCCTGGATAGTCTTCCAACATTTTCGTTTTGATAACCACCACTTGTTATTTTTGACAAATAATAGTTCCAGGTCAGCTTCAAGCAAACACCCCGAACATCTCCAGCTTTACCTGTACCATGTACAAAAACCAAAAGTCTTTCATTGGATATACACGGTGCCTTACAAAGCACACTTATCAAGCATATGCGCAATGGAACCCGACGGTAATTTCACTACATACCTTTGTCTGAAAAAATCAAAAACCCACGCAGAAAATTTAGGAATACAAAAAATGATCGCCCACCACTGCAGAAGCAAAAAAGAAAGAACAGTGGTGACAGTACTGTGATGGAATTGGCGTCCGACGATTTGTTATGAAATGTTATATGATATTTTTACTGGTATTTGTGTTTTATTTGATAAAACTAACAATTTAACAAATAAAATATACATGTCAACAGCAGTGAAAGCGTCTCAATAAAACTATTCAAATAACAATTACGCATATCTATCAGTTCCTCAGCACATTAAGGAACGCTTCCTTGGGTATTTGTACGTTACCTATCTGCTTCATCCGCTCTTTTCCCTTTTTCTGATGACTAAGTTTCTTGTTCAGTCGTTCCATTCCTACAATAGCAAGGCTTTTGTACAGGATACAAATGTAGCCCAGAAGCCAGTACTGTGTTCACGTGCGAATTAAATAGAATGCGGATTGGATCCATTTCGCTGAACTGCGAGCGAAAACATCGGTAGATTTCAAAGAGACGAAAAGCAGCCTCGATTCACCAGTACGATTGACAAGAAAAATTTCTTAAGAAGTAGGTCATATCGATTCAAAGGATCTAGCTGTTCTCAATCTACCGCTTGCGATATGGTGAGCAAAGTCGGATACACACGCAAGTATAGCCATCTCATGTACTGCCCAACGAATTTACTGGCCAGTTTGCCTTGTTTCGGGGAAATGGCGAACCCGTACATGGTAAACTTAATCAAGTCAAGTCAATATATGAGGACAAACCCGCTGATATACTTCACCTCCGCAGACTGACCCTTCTATGTATGCTACAGTATCGCATGGGGAGCAGTCACCGCGGAGGTGGAGTCTATATTCCGTTCCATCACATTATTCATGGTTTTGAAATTTTAACCTCTAGTGTGAAAGTTCGTCTTGGGAACTTTCAAATTCACTAAGGGTCGTATCAAACAGTATGGAACCTTACCTCCTCCGCCAAAATTTCCTTTGAGCAGTTGTGTAAAATCTCGTTTCATGGGTTGTATGGAGACATGAGACAGAGCTTTAGTTGAGTTACCGACGCATGCTAAAGGAAGCTTGATGAAAATTTTGAGAAAAGAACACGAAAAGAGACACCTTTTATGGTCACTTCATATTGCTGCCGAGGTATCTCCCTCTTCAAGCGCTGAACAAGCAACTTTGCACGCTCGCGTGCCATTGCTGCGGGAATAATTTGGGAAAATTCTGGGACCTAAAGAAAAAATGTCTGTGTATGAATAACCGTCAAAAAACCAACAAAATCTCACCTCTCGTCCATTTATTGTGATAGTTAGTTTGATGAGCTTTGTTTCAATATAGCCATCTTGCTCATAGTCAAAAGAAGCGTAACCAGAAGTAAGCCTCTTGAGGCGTTCGAAGAAGTCAACCACAACTACAATGAAACATTTTGCTAAATCATTCCAAAGTGAGATAGGTGACATTTGTTGAGTTTACCTTCAGCAAGCGGTAACCTCCAGATGATCATTAACCTATCTTCATCGATAGAGCTTATTTCGCCACGCTCTCCACGACATTCGGAGCACAAACCATTGACTGCACCCATCATTTCGGAAGGAACAATCATACGAACCTACTACGATCTGACTCAATCACTTGAAAGCAAAAAGTAAACTCTTGCAAATTAAAATTACCTTCACCACTGGCTCCAGAAATTTCTCGATATCGGCTTCTTCCGGAAATTTGCTTGCATCCAAGATGCTGATTTCACCTCTCCCTCCAAACCTTTTCTTACGGATCGTCTCGTTGTCCTACACCAAAACTCTAATACAGTACCGCAGAAATTTAATGCAATTCTTACCTTGACGATTGCCTTGTACTCCACAGAAGGTTGTGATAATATAACGCTGGCTCCGTATTCTTGGTCTAGACGGGCACCAAACACTTCCATGTGAAGTACTCCAAGAAATCCTACCTAGACTGATTTTGTGAGGAATGCTTTGAGTAACAATTGATGCACCTTCCACCCCAATCCAAGAGCTGGACTTGAATCTGGCATAATCACGACAGACGGATCGTTCAAGCTTAGTCGCTCGACAGCCTGCAACGAGAAAAGGATTCGAGTAACGACGGGGCATAGTGTCTTGGATAGATTCATTCCATTCTTCAAGTGTATGAATTTTGCAGAAACAATCGAGAACATCGAAAAACGATGGACTTTTTGGTTCAAAACTTGAACAAAACTGACTACAAATCGCAAGAATATGTCAAAAAAATGATGACATTTTTTATTACCCCATTACAGCCACACTTTGAAATAAATCGATATAAAACAAGAAAGGAAACGTAACGACCTAGGGAAAAACGCTACCTGCTTAAGCCCTTCATATTCAGAGGTCTCCACTGGGAACAACCCAGCATAGACAGTAGGTTTGATAGGTTTGAAACCGGGAAATGGTTCTACTGTTTCCGAGATTTCAGCAGCATACAACGTTTCGCCAATTGTAGCTTCCTACAAGATAGTTGAAGAAAAACAGTCAAAAATTTCTGATTCTAGACTTACGTTAACTGTTTTCATGCTGCAGATTACGTATCCTACTTGACCAGCGTTTAGGGATGAGCAAGGGGCCATGTCGGGCCGCATTACTCCCACCTTTGCGAAAACAGAGATAGATTTTAAAAAAAAATGAAAGGCTGTGCAATTCTCACCTCGGAGACTTCGTACTCTTTGCCATGATGAAAAGATCGGATTTTCTGACCTCTTTGTACGCTGCCATCAGTAACACGAATAAATGCTATAGCACCACGAAAGTGATCAAATAAACAATCGAAAATCTGAGCACTAGATTGGACACCATAATGAGTTTACATTCAACTAAAGGCATTAAGAACTTACCGAAAAGGAGCTTCCTTTCTGGTAGTTGGTGGAGGAATTTTTTGAACAATAGCGTCCAGCACTGACTCAACGTTCAATCCTGTCTTTGCCGAGATCTTCAGCGATTCATGAGGTTCAAATTCAAAGAGGTTTTTCAGTTGGGTCTCTACCTGAATACTTGTATTCAGAGAAAGCGAGGCTATAGGACAGCAACTTACCTTTGGAATATTAGCACCACTTAGATCTATTTTATTAATAACCGGTATCATATGTATATTTCTTTCAAAAGCCAGCCAAAAGTTGGCAATTGTCTAAAAACACAGAAATTCAAGCTTTCATCAACTGGACGAAGCAATGAGCATATTAATTCAATATAAAGTTATGACCTGTGCCTGGACTCCTTGATTGGCAGCAACTACTAGCAAAATGCCATCACAAACCGCTAATGATCTGGAAACTTCGGCAGAAAAGTCGACATGACCAGGAGTATCGATGAGATTAAATAAACAATCCTAAACTGACAACGAACTGGCACAGATGGATCACAAATGCAGACAATGCACATGAAACAGAAAAAACGGCGCGGATCTAACTGTTTTTTAAGCCAATTTTTGGGGTACCTTATATGGTAGAGCAGCAGTCTGAGCCTTCACAGTAATTCCTCGTTCTCTCTCGACAGGCAAACGATCAAGCATTTGCTCATTTCGCTCTCCTGGTTTCACTACCCCAGTGAGCTCGAGTAAACGATCAGCTAATGTGCTTTTCCCGTGATCTACATGGGCAACGATGCTGCAAAAATGCATTTAGAGACTGGCAATCCCAGTGATGAAAACTTACCTAAAATTCCGGATCTTCTCGGGTGAATATTTTGTCAGATCAATGAGTTTAGTAGGATCATCGGGACGGGAGGAGAATAATCGCGTAGACTGACTTATCCATTTCAGTTTGATTCGTGGAGGGACAAGCTTCATAATCGCATCCTGAACATGTCGTAGTCGATAATATCAGGATAAAAGCTACCGTTACGTACGCATAAGAAATCACGACATAGCAAGCATGGCAAAAGTCTCAAGATAATTAGACACACTACAAGGAGTGCCTAATTTTGGAGAATTTGATGTTGTACCCAAGGAAAGGCTATAGGATTTCTAGCCCCTAATACTACTGCAGTTCCAGTCCACATCACATGTTCATAGACAGATATTCCCAACGACTGAGAGACTTGACAAAGCCGTTCCCAAATTATGACTGTACTTCCTCCCAAAGCTTACACTTCACGATCAATTAGCGTCCTAGGGATCGGTAAATAAGCAAGAATTCATCTGTGTTCGACTTAATGAGACAAGACGAAGGGATGCACCATGAGAAGCTCTAGCCGTACTATAAGAAAACGTCATACTTGGTCAGTTAAAAACTTTCGGATGAATTGATTTTGAAGATAGCTTGTCATAGAGGCTGAAAGAGCAGCTAAAAGGACTTTTGGCAAATGAAACCTCTAGCGGAAGTGTAAGTTTAAAGGTAAATGAAGGTGGTATATCACGTGGGTACCTAAAATTGCATGTATCGACTCAGTCAAGATTTTCAACTGAGGAGAAATTGAAAAAAAAGTGAGAACTGTTTAAAACAAAAAGATGTTCAGCACCTGTGGGCAAAATATTTCTTCGGATAATTGCGGACATTATGGAACTGAGAGTTAGCTATAGACTCTATGTACTCAATATCATAAAAATGCTACAGAATGTCAAGAGAAGACCATGAAAAGCAAATCTACTTGTAGTCTACACACTCACAGGGATTTTCCCAATTCACGGACTCACAAGGTTTTCTAAAGGGTTGCGTGACCGCCTCACAAATGCTGACCCGGCGACGCACAGCAGCGCGACGCATCGCGGCTGGCACAAATTTGCGGCGGCTCGAACTTGTGCTGGCACGCGGCCAATCGAAGCTTTTTCGCGCTATGCTTGTCCGTCAACGACCTGCTTGGTCGTAATCGATGTGTGTGGCCGAGTGCATTTCGTGTTTCAGTGTTGCTTATTGATGTTACTGCTTTTCTTCATTCGAATAGTCTTTCAATGTTGAGCTCTCTTGAGAAGTCAGTGAGTTCACGGGGGTCACTTTTCTGTTCAAAATGGCGAGTTCCTTCATTTAGAAAGTGTTATCTCTTTCTGCAAACAAAAGCGTTTCTGGTTGAAAACAATGGCAAACGTGATAGGACAGAGAGGGGAGTTGTGTCCTAGTGAACGATAATAGGATAACTTTATCACTAGACTAAATGTTTTTACGGTGAATGAAAAGAATTTGGGGAAATATGCTATGCTGTGACCTCTCATTGTTTAAATTTATTGCCCATGTTTTCGACTTTCTTTCTCGATTTCTTCATCGTTTTTAACACTTTATTCTTACACAAATATCATTCACCTGCAGTAAGGAGCAAGTATATCAGCTGACTTGGTGCAGCTTTATATTGCTGTTTTTGGAATAATGAAATGGTAGTTTCTGTTTTGTAGTGTACGACACGTTTCACGCGTTCGCTGTTAACGAGTAGTGCATTTTAAGTGCACAGCTCAATTTTTATTCCACCTGTCGTTCAATATGACATCATATGATCGTCCAAAGTTCAAACTTTTGTATATATGTCTTTTGGTCTCTAACGGTTTCCGCTCTTCCTCTATAAAATGTGATAGCTTTTAATTTATAATACTGCTGCCTTTCACAAGAGCGCGACAGTGTGGGAAAATGAGGTCGTTGTTGTCCCCCTGTTTGGCCAGTTGTGCGACCTTCAAAAAGAGGTCGATCACGAGAGCATCTTATTTATTCAGAATTTCACGAACAACTGTGAATACACGTTTCGAGCGGAAACAGTGGGAAAAAATTGTGAGATAAAGCTTCGTGTGGAAATAAGCACCAGAAACTACTTCTTTGCTTGTTTTCTTGTAATCTTTTCAGTGTAGTTTTCGGCTAGTTTGTGAATACTACCAGGCAAAGGTTGTGCAAACATTTTCATAGCTTTTTCTGATCCCGCTCGATCTACAAAAACTCAGGAAAGTTTACCCAGCTAAAACTTATCTCTTTTATCTTCTTTTTCTTCTTGTCTCAACATAACTCTCTAATTCAATGGTCTCGCTTGGCATTAATATTGTCATTAAGAAAATATTATTTACATTTCAACGGTACTTTGACACCTTTTCACTAAGTACAGGTTGCAGAGATAAAAACGATTGAAAGAGGTCACTCGAGCGGTTTTTGAGTCCTCCAAAAATTCAAACATTATAAAATCCGAAATAGTTGGTAGCTTGATTTCTTGTCGTCTCTCTTTCAAGCTGAGCAAAGTTTTTACTAGCCGAGCTTTTCTATGAAAAGTTAGGATAACTGAGAGAACAATAATAATCAAAACTAGTTTTTGGCATTTTTTTAGAACATTATAAACTTTACTGTTTAAACAAGAAGGATTAGGAACTTATGCTACTTACTTTTTTGATGTTGTTCTAAAGCTCAAGGTTTTTGGCCGGCTTGCGTAAAATTACCGGAACGTTTTTGTCTCTGGAATTCATGGTGGAGTGCCGGGTGCCAAATGAAATCATATGAATTTTCTTTAAATAAAAATCAAGTCCAAGCAAACCTATACAGAAAAAGTTATGATGTCGTGAAAATGGTGCAACAGACCCTTCGTAGAACCTGGTACTCTATCAGCCTGTATCTGTGACACTAAAGCTGTGTGTGAAAAGCTATAGCTCTTTCTAGACACTTGATGAGATTTGAGACATACGATGAGACTTTACTGATCTGGCTGTTGGAATTCATGTTATCTCTGTTCTCCTCTCTTTTAGCTACTCCAAAGTTTTGGACTTTTTCCTTGTACTGACTAGAAGAGCTTCTGTGATTCTGCTTCAAAAATAGTGTTGTTTGTTGACATGTTCTATTCATTCCTTATCTGGTCAGATGTTTGCTACAATTTGTTATAACTCGGAATGGGCTCGACAGTCACATCAATGCACGTGACCGCTTTATAAATCTGTTAATCGCCGTTAATATAATAGCCGGACAATGCGTTGAAAAAACCATCACTTAATTATGTTTACGAGCGTTCAATTCTGTAGCCTATGCTTCCATTCAAGCCTCGCATATGATTCTGCATATTCATTTATGGTCTTTTTGAACCAGTGAACTGGGTTGTACTTTTTCGTGCTGCGGTATACGCAGAAATCACTAGAAATAATATACAAGAATCTATTGATATGCAACTGTTTTTCGCTAATTTGTATCCAGAGGAATTTTTGGAGTTTTGTCAGTATCACGTTCGTTTATTAGTTAGTGTTTAGATGCTAAAGCCATTCTGTTCTCTTTATGATCTTTGTTTCTTTTTTCAATATCTCTGACTGCTTCATGTTTGTTTGAACGGCTGACAAGTACCGCAGTGATGCGTCGGCTTTCATTCGGGGCTACAACGCGAAAAAAAACTTTTCCAAATCACAGCGATGTTTCTTTACATTCCAAAAGCTTTCAGGTAGGGACTGTCAATTGATGCGGTCGTCTATGGCTGAAGCGGGCGATCGCAAGACGGCGCCCGTACCTCGGCCGTCTCACGGTCCTGGGCCACCACGCCCTCACCCTCCACATGGTCAGAAAACCTTGATTCATCTTGCTTTAGTGATTGATCTGTTGCTTTGTAGGGATACCACAGGGCCCTCGTAATTATAAAACGTTGTATGATAAAGAGCTTGGAGCTAAAGAAACGATTCGTAGATATAATGGATATATTCCCGGACATCCTAAGGTGAGTCTGCAATGTCACATCAAATGAACCCAAATGGTAACTTTTAGTATGATGTCAAACTACCTCTATCGGATCCAAGAAACCATTATATACAATTTAGAACTGTTGCGCAAGCAGATTTACCTGTGCCATCATTTACGGTAATACGATTCACATCAGGATGTGATGTGAATCTTTTTTCAAATTCTAATCTGTTATAGGTGGACAGAAATACTATCTTCTACCCGAAAGTAGAAGTTGCTATGTTTGAGTTAAATGATAATGTAAATAAGAATTTTTTACAACAATTAGCAAAGTAAGTTTGTATTGATTCATGAGTTGTCGTTGTATCGAGGATAATGTTTTAGCAAAATTGCTACCCCCATCGATATCGATGTATTCTATCACCCAATCACCAAGAAACACATGGGCATGGCGATGATAGTCTTTCGAACATATGATGGTAAGGATTGCATCTTCAAATTCATACTTTCCAATTTTTCTTTATGAAGCAAAATCTTTTCTGAAGGTATGTAGGGTATTTAACAGCATTAGTCCTGACTGTTTGTTTAAAAAGTGTATAGGATATCTAGTACGTTACCGTATTCTGCATGAAAATATTTTGCCTCTGTCCCTGTCTGTACGATTATAATTGCAAATTTTTGATATGTTTCGCATGCGAGAGAAATTTCCGTGTACATTCAAATTGTAAAATTTTGGGCCAACTCGATTTAATTTTTGCAGAAGCTCACAGGTTTGTACTGGAATACAATGGGAAAACTGTGATGGGCAGTCAAGTCTCGTGTCATCATGATCCCTACTGTAAGTTTTCTGCAGTTTGATGCAGTTGAAATTGATGAATCTCAGCTCAATATTTGTGTTGTCATTTTTAGTCACTCTATTGAGTCAGCGCTATGAAGATGCTACCGGTGAAGAAATGCGCGTACCAGTGCATTTGAAAGGTCTGGAGGAAACAATATTGAACACCAGAAGGAGTCAGTATGCTAAGAAGAATGAAGGTTTAGAAATTTGCAATGTCCATTGTTGGATCAATGGACAATTTGTATGGCTTTAGAGCTGCACAGATCTCATGCATCCACTTCATCGCTTCCATCTACACAGCTGCATCATAAGGACGTTGATTTGGACTTGTCAAGCGTTTCGTTGGTGGATGTGCTGCAACGTAGTTTGGAGAGACGCACACCATGCACGCCTAACGAAGTTTCTACACCAGTCAGGTACTAAATTGATTTTATTATCTTTACGCCGACTTTAGACTTGTGCCTCTGCTTCCAAAAAAGTTTCACGTCATGCTTTTTAGGCACAGTCTAACACCTGTGCGTCCACGGACGCCTCTGAATGAGCCTCCATTTTCATCTGCTCCAGCAAGTGTCCCGCTACCGACGCATGCGCCTCCGCCACCACCGGCTATGTTTATGCCTCATATCCCTCCTCCCATGATTCCCCCTTTCCATCCTGGTACGTTTTATTTCAACTTCTCATACCTTTGTTTATTCTTTCCTCTGTGATTTGTGATTGCTGCCGGAGTCCTACACAATTATATGGCATTTGCAGCCTTCAGAAAGCTATCCAACCATCTGTTTAATGTAGGCCTCTGGCAGATTATCAGAAACCCTTTCTTTGCACTGTAGAGTGGGATCTGTTTGGGTGCTTGCTTTGCGCAGTGTTCAAGGGATGGGATTTTTCCTTCTATGTTTGTGTTCTTGCATGTCTTGGTTTGCAGGTGCTTTTGGCGCTGAACAGTGGCCAAGAATAGGCTCAGAAGACATGCATAATTTGAATAGTTATCACCATACCTGGAATCCTGATACTAACACATCGGGCAATTTCTATAGTGAAAATATTAACATACCTTCTGCTGCGAGTCCAATGCCTGTTCGCAAAGATTATCGAAAGTACAAAAAACCGAGATCACCTCCTTTATCTGCAAATACGGCAGCACCTTCATTGTCGCAACGCGATATCTCAAGGAGAACCTCTTTTGGAGTAGCAGGAACACATTCATCAGCCTTTCGAGAATCTGCTTTACCTTTCTCTTATCGCGCCCGAGCCAATAACAACGTCGGTCATGCTGGATTTGGTTCACGCTATCGTGAGCGAAGACCCATCCATTATTCTGGAGAATATCATAGCATTGGTAAACACTGGCGAAATGAACGATATGACCGCAGACGTAGATCTGATTTTCAAACACGCTCTCTGAACTTCCATCGCGGAAACAATCGACATCAATACAACCAGCGTCGAGGCAACTATACCCGCAGAAGAATTTCGCCTCTTAGGGAGACATATGCCGATAGAGGATTGATAATTAGACGATATCATTACGGACGAACTCCAGTAAATCAGTCATCGCACGAAAATGCAGCTAGCAGTGACGGACCCTCAGAAACTTTTTCACCTCCTCCTCGTAAGAAGTCAAGATGGGATGATCCAGGTAACTGTGGTAGGCGCGGAAGTTTTTCCGTCACCCCAGGAAAGTTTGCTTGTTTGCGGTGTGATTTGGTGAAATGTCGTTGTGTTTTATGTTTGTATGCTTTCACGCAATATCTTCACTAGCACTCACATTTTTTCCCAACCCTGCCAACCCTATACTTAAAAATGGGTTCTTCTGTTATGATATCATCGGAATCGCACCTCATTTTTTCGATAATCAAATTTTTCAAATTCTATACACTTCATTTGTGCTTGTTTTCAGAATTATGTACATCGCAGGCACAACCTGGACCCAGTAATGCTCCTCCTATTCCACCAATGCCTCCAATGCCCCCGATTTTTGGTATGGCGTATCCCCCACCGCCTCCATATTCAGCGGTACCTGAAGATGCGGCAGCTTTCCCGCCTGGCTACTCCCATCCTCCTCCCACAACATCTTCCTTGGGAGGAGCAAATGGTGGGTGGTTTTTGTATCACCGCTTGAAGCACTGTAATCTATTAGTTGTTGCAGAAGGTGGAACATCGACCTCTCACGAAACTGCAGAAGCGCGTCGTGGAAGAAAAAGCGGCAAATCATCCAAAAAGAAGAAAAAGAAGCGAAAGAGGTATGGATAGAATTTAGGATCTTTTTTCAATGTCCGAAAGACCGAAGATAGATCTTTCCGTCTTTGCATGATAGAAGTGTAATTTAAATTTGACAGGCATTCATCCGCGTCATCATCAAGCTCTAGTTCAAGCTCTTCACTGAATATTGGCGAGTATCTGCGCGTTGAAAAGAAGGAAATGAGGTATCTAGCCTCCGGCTGCGTAATTCTGCACATGTTTACGTTTTACTACTATGTTCAGCACAAAGTATATCTCAAGAGAACGTGAAGGTCGTGAGAAGACTATTGTTGAAGAGATAAAGACAGTAACAAAGAGGAAGAAATACATGGTAACTGAAAAGAGAAATGATATAAAGGTAAGTGGGGTGTTACATGTGACTTGTGTGCTTATTACTCGAGTTCAGCAAACGCCTGGCTTGCAAAAGATCAGCAGTGATGAGTCTGAAGAGTCTAGAGAAGAAGGGAAGAGGATGAGAAAAGAAAAGTGAGTTCATATTTTTTTTCATGTCGCTATTCATTTCTTTCGAAAATCAACCACCTAGGACTCCATCTCCTTCGAAATTAAATGAAAAGAAAGCGGAAGGGCATCGATGGAGTAGCAGTTCTACTGAATCTGAAGTGGAACTTCATCCTAAGAAAGAGAAGGTGAAGGGAACCCTAGCGTTTCTGTATTTTATATATTTTATCGAGATTATGACGCGTTCCAATTGCAGAAAATCGAGAAAACTCTATCTGCCGCTTCATCGCTCCACGACTTGTCTTCTCGCACTCCAGTGCCGCCTGTAGTCGTACCTCCACCTCCACCATCTGTATTTAGTCCAGGAACTCCACTACCTCAGCCAGCTGTTGCTGCCCCAATTCTAACACTACCTCCTCCAGCTGTAGGCATACCAATACCGCCACCGCCAATGTCATCTTTACCTCTACCTCCGACGCATCTTCCACCTCCACCCTTTCCACTACCTCCGGTAAGTTTAGTCTGTCGAAGTTTCGCTCTGTCTTCAGTTTAGTACTCGGAATCAAGTCAGAATATCTCAGATGAATGCTGCAATACCAATGGGTGCACCCGGCTTCCCTCCTTTGCTACCTCCACCAACAAATTTTTGTGCACCTCCACCTCAGCCATTTGTCAAGGTAAAAAGACAATCACATTGCTCATCATGGTAATCAAAAACTTTTTTAATTAAAAGCATGTTTAGCGAGAACTACCGAAAGTGTCTCTTCGTTTTGTCGAAGACTCTCCCTCACAGTCATCGCCACAGCCTGGTCCTTCTCATCAAACATTGGCTGATCGCGTTGCAAGTATATTCGGTGCGGACACGTTGGGAGAACCAGCCAGTGCTCGCCCTGGTTCTAGCGTATCACAGCGTCAAGGGTTTGTGTTAGTTGGGTTTTGGAATAGCTGAAAAATTATATATTAAGGTCAACTGATGCAGCCTGTGCTGATGATGTGGACGACATGGATGTCGATATCGGTTCGTCACCGGAATCAATGTCACTGAGTCCTCTGGAACCAGTGTCAAAGGAAGAGACTAATCTGCGTAAGAGAAGGCGGAAGACTGGTGACAAACAGAAGGTAGTGGAATTCAAATCCCCAGTGAAAATTGGTTTCTTCAACCCTACTTTAATTCAGAGACATTTCTTGCGAAATGTCGCCCTAGTGGTAGAAGCCACGGAAAAGACCATAGGCGAAGAGATAGTTGACGTTGTTACAAAAGATTTCTACAAGCGAGTAGAAGGCGTCAGCTTTGAGATTTTGGAGGAAGTTCTTGCAGAACTCCGCCACGAACTTGAGGAACAGAAACGGAATGAAGTGAAATTTGTTTTATACTTATAGTCGGTAACGTCATAAGGTGTTATGATTATAGGCTCAAGAAGCATTGCGCGCACAGGCTCAGATCGTTACGCAAGAGAAACCGAGTGATGTTGCTCAGTTCTGCAATCCTCTTGATGTAAGTTTTACCCCCGTAGGATCTTGCTAAGTGGCTTAAATTTTGCATAATCGTTCGTTTACAGAGCCTTAATTCCACTCCAGAGAAGCTTGGTGCATTCCCATTCACTATCAACATGCCCAAATTGCCGAGTTTCCGAAGAGTGAGTTACTAGCTAGCATAGGACTTAGTATACAGATAGAAACTCTTTTTTGCAAACCTGTATCGCATGAGTACTCTTGTCTAATCCACTTATTTTTCGCTTTATTTCGTTTTTTTTTATCATGGATAAGTTTTTAGAAAATTCGTCCACCATCACCAGAATCTGAATCTGACACTAGAAGTCCGCTCATCCGAAAACGTGATGATGACTCTGACAATTCAGATGCTGCTCACAAAAGGTAGTTTTTCTATTCTTCTTGAGAGCAGTTTGGATTCTGGGCATTCCAGTTCGTCCAGCAGTCAGAAATCTTCTGAATCGTCTGATGAGGTTGTGGTACAGAGAAAGAAGCGTGTTCAGCGTTTTCATTCTTCATCTTCTGTTTCTGGGTGAGTTTCGTTCTGTCCTGAGTTCTTTGCATAAATAAAGTTTATTATTCCAGTTCGGAGTCATCTAGCGACCTTTCATCAAGCGAGTCTGTAACTCGTAGCAGTAAATCGTCGCGCACAAAGACCTCTGGTTTGTTTTTTTTTTCTTCGCGACAATCCCTTTTGCTGGACCTGTTAAGGAAGAAAATTTGTACACCCGAATTTGCGACTTTTTAGCGCAGAAAGAGGACTTCTCTTCTATAGCTGCATCTTCTGCAGCAATCTCTTCGGCATCAAGCATAGCTTCATCATCGGAGAGCTCAACATCTAGCGAAGATGAAGAAGAAGAACGGGGCCGCGATGCATCGACTGCGACTGAGGAACCACAGGAACCTCCTGCTCCAGTTGTTATTGCTGAACCCGTTGTGCAAAAAATTGAACCTCCTCTGTGGGAAAAGATTGTGAGTGATTCATTGTAAAGATGAGAGTTTGAACGTTTTTCTCGTATCTTTTTTGATCTTTGACATATCGGTTTCGATTCAGCTCGGAGACTCCTCATCGGATTGGTCGGAAACTCTTCTTCGGTCGCACTACCACGTCAACCTCTCTGAGCACTGTTATTTTAAGTTACCAGAAGTGGTCAAGAAAGAGGAGGAGCCGAGTGCTGATGTGGCTCAGGTAACCTATCTATTCACTTTAAGTTGTTATCTCCTTACTCTTCCTTTTGCAGGTTGATATAACTACAAAGGAGAAGGTGATTTCAAGATCGCTATTTTATTCTTACTATGTGTGAAAACAATCTTCTTATGCGTTGTATTCCAGGAAAACGATGAACCCGCTCCGCAAAAGAAAAAACCGAAGGAGAAAGTGGGACGAGAACTCCTTGGACTATTGGATTTGGTAGAAACTCGACCTAAACCTCCCAAACCAGAAATGTGTGTACCTACCTTTACCTTTTCATTTTACCCTTCGTTGTTAACCCAGCCTTTACTTTCAGCGTGTATCCTCCATGGACCGAAGAAGAAAAAATCAGGCACATATATAGCTGGGAAGTACGTATCATACATTTACCCCGCTCAGTTTTTAAAAAGAATCAAATTTTAGTGCTGTTTCGATCCCGAAGATCAGGAGTACCTCAAGCTCGCATGGCTTGAATTACAACCTCAAGGGGATGATGCAAAACCTCCATGGAAAAAGCCAGTCCGTTTCAACTTTGCGTCTTGGGCTGATAAACCACGCCTTTTGGTAGGTCTTATCTTCGGTGGAGACTTATCCGTCAATGTTACACTTTCAATCACTAAAATCGATCTAGGATGCGCCAAGGAAAAAAGGCCGGCTGGATGTTTACTTTGAAGACGATACTCTGGATGGCATACTTCCTATCAAGGATGGATGTGCCAGGACTCGTGGTTACTTCAAGTTAACAGCTAAAGAGAAAAGAAGTCTGATTCGACGTCCGGAAGACGAACAGCGCGACAAAACTGTCATCAATGAAAGGGTTGGTGTTTTTGCCCATTAGATCAAAATTTCCTCACAATTTTCTTCTTCTAAAAAAATCGCACGCTTGTTACGTCCTTTCAGGATGAAGCCTTGGTACGGCACAATCTTGTTTCGACTAAGGAATCCCGATCCATGCATCGTCGACTTCTTACCACAATGGGAGATGCTAACACCGACTTCTTCAAAGTTAATCAGTTGAAGGTACATTATTTCAATTATTTTCGAGGGAGTCGACACTGGTAGTAATCAATCTTACAGTATCGCAAAAAGATGATCAAGTTTGCGCGGTCGAGGATTCATGGTTGGGGATTGTATGCGATGGAAACCATTGCACCTGATGACATGATCGTTGAATATGTGGGACAGAAGGTAACGTCTCAATTTTACGTTGTATATGAATTTTGTCGCTAGTCGCTTTTACATCCTGGTTTAGGTGCGGAATACTGTAGCAGATGTTCGAGAAAAGGCTTACGAAAGACGTGGTATCGGTAGCAGTTATCTATTCCGAATTGATGATACTACTGTAAGTAGTTCTATTTCAATCGTTTTGTTGGCATATCCACTGTGATCTTGCTTCTGTCTCATTTTTTGTTTATAATTTCCTCATTTTTGTTTACATTCGATTTTTCGTGAATGTCCAACTGCAAAAGTTTATGTGAAAGCGATATTGTTTATCAGGTTATCGATGCCACACGTATGGGCAACTTCGCGCGGTTTATAAACCACTCATGCCAACCGAATTGTTACGCAAAAGTTTGTCTTTGCTTAATTTATTCTGTTTCCAAAGCTTTGCCTTACGAATGATCCGTTTGAAGGTAGTAACCGTGGATGGCGATAAGAGAATAGTAATCTACAGTAAGACTCTCATAAACAAGGGCGATGAGATTACGTACGATTACAAGTTCCCCATCGAAGATGACAAAGTCGACTGTCTTTGTGGTGCTCCGAACTGTCGTGGAACTCTCAACTAATTGTTCACCCTTATCTCACATCGTAATCATCACGTATTTGTGTAAAGAAGTTCATTCAAAGTCAATGCATTCATTCGGTGTTCTTATCATATTTGTATCAACTTAAACTCTGTATGTTATGTTAACTTATCTGTATCTTGTCTTTTATTTGATGCTAATCTTTATCTAACATCTGCAATGCGAAGTAATACGAGTTTTTTTCTACTTCTCATTTCTTTTTGTTAGTTCATTTCGCGCATAGTGAATTTGAAGAGTTCACCTGCATTCTCACCTCTTTCAATTGCTCAGATATACTCATACCAAATATCTTCTTTTCTCGTTTTATCTTTCTATAATATAACATTTTTTTTCAAGTCCTTCATCTTCGTCCTTGCTATGAGCAGTCTCATTGCAAAAAGAGTTGCTCTATAACAAAGGCTAACCTCTTCCTCCTCGATAGTCTTCACTTGGTACAATCTTTCTTTTTTGCGGGTCGCTCTATAAGAGTATGTTTGTGTTTAGATCAGTCTTATAGATTGTTCAAATGAACATGTTGTATCGTTATTATTATCACTGCGTCTTTGATTAGAAGGTTATTTGACCTATCAATAAATAAGAACAGAATATGCTGGTATCTTGGTACGAGGCACTGAGTAGTGGGGATTTCTCCTATGGATGGTCATGCTACCTGATCCGGTATCGTTTTCAATCTTGTCATCATGCCCCATCTTTATACTTGTCAAAAAAAATGGAAAAAGTTATAAATGCTATTTTAGTCTTTTTGTACAAAATAGATAGCGAAAGCTGTCGACAAACATTCTCAGATCAAAAAAGACGCATGAAATTAGCGTTGAGCGTGAAGAGTGAGCAATTTTACACTTTGTTATCGAGTACTTTGAAACACTATTGATTTGTCACCACTGGTCGTCTAGTCGGAGACATTTTCTCGCTATTCCCAGGTAATACTTTTATTTAGTTTTGGTATGAGCTGGTAATCGAAATCCTAATGCGTATCTATTTTGACAACTGGGATATACGGTCATTCTACTTTGTAAAAATCAATTCATAACCTTTGCATATCGCCTAGGCTAGCTTCCCAGAATATATTTCGCCATGTTAATATTTAGAAGAGCTTGAAATTTTGAGTGTACGGAAAATTAGGCGACTGGCAGTTGGCGGGTGTTTGATGATTGATTACTTTTTTGAGTTCACCGTGACGGGATGATAAACAGGTGCCGTGAAATTTGATTAGTTGACAATTTATCCTTGCGTATCTATTATAGCTCTATGTATGGGTGTTTGCGCAAGAAAACAACAAAGCTTGGAAAAGCGTATAAAAATGTCGAAGATCAATAGATCAAATGATATACATTACCGCTCATAATTTCTGCAAATAAGACGCGACGGTCGCTTGAGTTAAATGACCTTAGCCCTTAGGTACATCTCGCTTCGGAGTGGACGAAATTTCCAAGGGCACCATACAATTTAGTTCGACTGCACTCATATTCTGATGCATACTAGAGGTGCCTGTTTGGTCACGGTAGGCGCACCATAGGCAGCTAGTTTGCAAATCCTTTCAGGTTTTTGCTTGCCGTAGATTACTTGACGCTGACTAATCTACCGTGAGCGAAAATTGTATTTATTTGTTAAATCGGTGCCTACGGTGCACATATCGTACTCAAACAAGTGCCTCTATTTATTAGAAGATGTGCCTCGTCAAGCTGACTCGAATGTTACCCTTGGATTTAACTTTCATCTACTCCAAAGTAAGGATAACCACGCTACGGTGATGTCACCTAACTCAGGTGACCGCCGCGTTGTTTCTTAAGTTATTGAGCAGTAATGTAGGTGGGGAAAAAATGCAACAGACTAAGCCCAACCGCTAAGGGCCAACCACCCGTTTTTTCCAATGAAGCCTCTGCCAGCGTTCATCGTCTGCGCTGACATCCCTCCTCCTCCTCCCCCCCCCCCCCCCCTCCCATGGCATGACATTAGCTATCAAAATCTAGTGAAAAGGCAAGACTTTTGACGACCTTCAATTCTTCCTCAAGAATCATAAATACTCCTGCGAAGATTTCACAGTTCATCGATACTTCCTATGATTTGTTCTACCTTATAGCGCCTTTCGCGATAAAATCTTCTTTGTAAAATGGCACTACGCTGTCTGTCTCTCATACGTGTAGCTCGCGCAGCTCCACTGGTGCGACATCTTAGTGTGACAACACCAGTAATGAGCCGAGGATTCAAACCAGGTAAGACCCTTAGGGCAAAACATACGAACGCAGGTCCCTAAGAATTTAGGTCGCGGAAGTGGAGATTCTGGGAAATCCAGTCTGTTCAACAACGAACGACGATGGAAGGATGACGATGCCTTCATGGCGCTTGGAAATACGGACGAACTTGCATCACTGCTTGGGTTGAGATATCTCTACCTGTTTTGAGGTTTTTAGAATATGTGTGCTTTTAGTGTTTGTCGTGAGTACGCCGACAAAGATAACATTCCGGAACTAGTAGAAGTTCTTACTCGACTCCAAAGTTGTCTACAAGACGTTGCTGCCAGTTTGGCAACACCTCCTGAAACTTCAGAGAAACGGAAAAGTGAGAGATCTTGCCTCTGAAGCAGCTTACAGTTCGGAAAAACTATCCTACAGAAATGACAAAAATTGATCCTGCTATGGTCGAGTGGATTCACGCTGAAATCGATCGTTGGGGTGATCAAGTGCCGCCTATAAAAATGTTTATTTTATCAGTGAGTTGAATACGCATTCCCCTTTTTCCTGTATTTTTACCTTCTGATTTTTTTTTCAATCGGAGTATTGCTCTTCTAAGTTTTGTACTTAAATCTTCATTCATCACGACTGCTAATTTTTGCTATGACCATGTCTTACTTTAGGGAGGTGGTGTCACGTCTTCTCACCTGCAGTTTGCCCGAGCTGTCTGCCGTCGTGCTGAACGAAGCGTAGTTCCACTTGTACGAGATGAGGTAGCCGATCCGCAAGCCATGAAATTTTTGAATAGGTATGGTTAATATGCTTTAGTGAAGTTTGTCCTGAAACGTCTACATACGGTTTGTTCCTCAGAATTAATCCATAGGTGCCACCTCAGCTCGCTGCCTCTCGATCTTTTGTTCACTTTGATAAAATGCCTTGAATTTGTTAAAGTTAACATGTTAAAAAGAAAGAAAGGCAGCGAGCAGAGGGTATAGGTACCTGTTGGAAGATTTCTGCGGACAGATGATATGAATGAAGTGACTGATTGAGTGAGCTCAAAGGTGATGTCCGGGCAAAATTTGGGAGTGTATACGAAAGTTGGGGTTTCGAAGGGTTCTTTATCTGTATAATATTACATCACCGCTCCTCCTCCTCCCCGCCTCCCTAACCCGGGTACTGAGGTAAACTATGAACCGGAATCGAGAAAGTGTATGCTTCAAATAATGGGTGCAGATCCTGTATACGGTTGCGTCAGCTTCCCTTAGTGCAGTCGCATACATAGTAATACCGCTGTCACACGTAAGCTGTAACAGCTGCGAACCCCTTCTTATTCCAGATTGAGTGATCTACTGTTCGTTCTGGGACGATATGCTTGTATGAAGACAGGACATATAGAAGTGACATATCTCAAGCCAGAATCGTTTGTTGATCAGAAATGGGAGCGCAAAAAGCTGTGATCGGTTCATTATTATTTGCCAGTTTTATTGTTTGCAACGTTGTGTTCAGATTCTATTTTATGGTGTTATTTAGCCAATTAACCTTCGGAAATGAGTTATTAGTCTTTCTAGGGTCGGGTTACACAGTTGCCTTGCATAGTTCATAGCAATAAACTGCCTTAACTTACTGTTATCCTACAGTTATTTCTGCGTTGCACGTGATATATCATCTCGAAAATGTTTGTTTTTGTGTCTCATTCTTCCCCACCATAGAGTTGCCATCTCTCGTAAATACGAATGAGGAATGTTGAATGTGATTGTGACTATTTAAAGCAGAGATTAATAACTGGCTCAATTTGTCCCTCTTTTTTGGTCACGCACGCGGTCATTTGTCTTCAAGCCCCTAAAACGCAATTTTCTGATGTTCCTAGTGTGATTATTATACAGTATGATGACTAGGACAACAAGGAGAAAGTTATGAACCGTTGAAGATTTACCCAATCTTGAACCAGACCCTCGGTCAAATTTGGACAAAAGAAATTTAGAGTGTGCAATTGCACCACAGCACCAAAATGTGCGGCAAAGTTGAATGTTTCTTGGATTGACCGTATTATCGGTGTGTTTATCGTTTCTGCCTTTTCATGAATAGTTTTTTCTGTGGATCTCGATATCTTTTCGAAGTTTTGTACTAAATCATTTTTGAAAGCCAAAAAGTGGAGGGAGAACAATCCAATTTTTCGAATGAGTCTTTTGACAGCATAAAGATGTCCGCCTAGTATTGCGGTCTTAATCTGTTTTTTTTTCGCCTGCCCATTGTATGTTCTTTTCAGAGACATCTTCTGTGACGCATGCATGTTTTGAACAGAAAGAAGACTTTCTAATTTTTTTTTTGAAAAAAAAAGTTGATTGTACAGTTGTGAAGTTGCAGATGAACAGTTTCTTTTCATCTGGAGCAAGGGAAAAGAAGGCCGAAACCAAACCACCCGTCGATGATGGATCTCATATCCCATGGGTGGAGAAATAGTATGCATCAAAGTTTGCTTTGTTCTTCATAATAGTGATGGCTCGAGCTGTTTAGTCGACCAAAAAACGTAGACGATCTTGTGTATCAAAATGAGGTTGTTGCCGTGTTCAAGAAGGTTTTGGGAGGATCAGATGTAAGTGGTCTGCACAGAATAATATTCATTAGTGGAAAACTTGATTATAGTTGCCAAATATGCTATTGTACGGACCGCCAGGTACTGGAAAAACTTCAGCAGCGATTGCTTTTTGTCGACAGTTGTTCCCATCACAGGAACTATTTCGCGATCGGGTTTTGGAGTTGAACGCCTCCGACGAACGCGGTATCCAAATTGTGCGAACAAGGGTAAACTTACTCGAGATTAAACCTCTGCATTTTTATTTTCAACTCTTTTTCGTTGTAGATAAAAGATTTTGCTCATCGAGCTGTGTCCAAGGCTCGATCGCCTTTCAAAATTGTGATTCTTGACGAAGCAGATGCTATGACTAGCGCTGCTCAGGCAGCGATGCGAAGAATCATCGAAAAATATTCAAGCACAACAAGGTGTTGAACAAAAATTTTGGCTCATCAAAATAGTTCTACTATATTCTAGGTTCTTTCTCATCTGTAACTATATTTCGCGCATCATTGATCCTCTCACATCCCGATGCGCCAAGTTCCGTTTCAAACCTCTCCCTACAGAATGTCAGCTAGAGAGGTGGGTTTTTGGCGGGGTGTATGATAAAACGTATGTTTTTGTTTATAGACTTCAATATATCTGCAAGAACGAGAATATGGAAATTACTGAAGATGCGCTCACGACTCTAATCGTCTTGTCTGAAGGAGATCTTCGACGATCAGTCATGTATTTGCAAAGTCTTTCTTGCCGTGAAAAAGTCACTAGCGAATTCATCTTTGCGATGACAGGACAAATCGACGAAAAAGTGGTAAGTCTAAGATCTTTCTGCATTTGCACCTCTTTTTTATGACACTCGTGACTCTTATCCATTTCAGGTGAAACAAATCCTTCACGCTTGCCATTCAAAAGATACTGATCGTATCTTGGATTCCGTAGAGTCAATATGTAGAGCTGGATACGCCAGTCGACCTCTTATTGATCAGTTGTATGAGCAACTACTTGATGATGATACGTTGAAAGATATTCAAAAGTGTGTCATATTCGAGAAAATGGCGGTAAGCTCTTACTTTTCATTCACTTTGCGCTAATAAAGGCAGCGTCCAGGCAGATCTAAACTTATTTAGATCTCACTTTTAGTGTAATCTTGGAGGCCTAAGTAAAACACTGCCTAAGCGGCAGCTCAAATGGTAAACTTACAGCTGAGAGATTTACCTCCAAACAGGACCCCGGGGTCGTATTTGCATGGATTCATGGCAGTTTCGTGCACCCACGCGTTGCGCCAGGAATCCATGCAAAATGCGATCCTGGGGTCCATTTTCGAGGGGAATATCTCAGCCGTTAGAGCACTACCTGAGCTGCTGGTTGGGCAGTGGCTTAGTTAGGGCCCCAAAATTACTATCCACGTGAAATCCCCGTGTGTCCAGACTTGCCTGCCTTTGATTTGTTGATTGCGTCGGAATGCTCGTTTACGTTGATCAGCTGAGCTTTATCGGGTTCCTGGAACTTCCATTAGGGCTGTATTAGGGTCGCTGGGGAGATATGAGTAAGATTAAATTCTTTTAATCCTGACACTAAAGAGGTGAGGTTGCTTATTTTGCAGAAGAAGGAATTCTCTTTTGGTTGTGGGGTTTTATGAGTTGTCTAAGAATCGTAACATTACAACATCCAAAGGCTTGGCTTTACAACAGAATATACCCGTGTTTGTCAATTCATACATAATTGGAACAGATTTTGCTGAAACTGACCCTTATAACTGTTATGGCCATTCCAGTATGAGCACTCATATTCCATCTTTTGACTTGTTGGGCAGTTCTTATTAGCTAAGGCCGTCTAGATTACTTTGCTTATACGTGATGCTTGTAGGACAGACTTCTATATCCATCACGCCTTGTACAGTGGTTGATCAGTTTTTTTTAAATCCAGCTAGATTTATTTTGCTGGGAATTTAGTGTCTCGTAAGGCAAAACTTAATGATCATGTCTGGCTTTTGCATGCGATTTGCTTTTAAGGTCCTCGAAGCGCGTCTGTTGGATGGTGCAGATGAGTATGTACAAATGATGGATCTGCTATTTTGTATCCAGTCGCAATTCAGTCGCAAGCGATCGGCTTGAAACCGTCCCAAGTTGAACCTCTTTCGTACTTTTTTGATCTCCCTCTTAATCATGTCTCACCATGTTTTAAATCACTTCACAACATCCAGTGGGTAATTTCAACCTTGTCGCTTGTCTCATCGTTTGAAAATCGTTTGCTTTATTCTTTGTTACTCTACCGGAGTATCAGAAGTGTCTCCAGACTCGCTCACTATTTTGCAAACACCGGTTCATTGAATACTTTTCATATATGTAAGTTGTACAACTTGTGCCTGCATTTTTCTTGACAATTTTTCCAAATAAATCCTCAAAATTTGCTATTCAGACGGAATGCCGCCATCACAAAAGGTTCTGTTTTGAAAATATTCTGGAATTGCAGCTATTTCTCAGGAATATTATGCAGGAAGTTCTTCCCGCAATCCTACAGTTACGAAGAGCCAGCCATGATTTGCTCAAAAAGTTAAAATTGAAGTTCATCAAATCTACAGAAAAAACCTCAAGTTCTGGGGAAGAGATCAGTGCGAGAGAGGTATTACCGATTACCGGTTGCTTTTTAGAAGGGAAGGTTTTATGTAAACTTTCTGTATTAAGACTCATCGAAATTGATAAAGAGAGTAGGCAATTGCGCATATAACAGACGAGAAGCTGGCAGAAAACATGTTGGTTTGAAGTTAGGTAACCTGTTGTGGATTTGGCAATGCTTTGCGCATTATTACAGAGTTGCCCAAAATAATATATAGAGCTTTGATCAATAACTTTCGTTCATAACAAGTTTTCACCTTCCTTAAAACATTTATTGCAGAAGTGGCTTTAACGTAGACTTACAATGAAGCGACCACCGGTCTCTCTTCATCACTGTAGGATTCCGATGGGAACTTTCAGCTTACAGCGACATTTAGCCATGTTTCGAAAAGATTTTTTGAATCTGAATAATTGTCTGCCAGGTCTTTCACGCGCGCTGGTTACATCGCTCAACTTTTACGAGTTTGTGAAGTTTATCAATGGAAAATTCATAGTTTTAGGAAGCATAGTTAAGGTCCGTATGCACGTACTATGCACGTACATCCCCGCTGGGGAGGGGAGGGGATCTGAGAGAGGATGCGTCATATCTCGCTACTCTACGTATCTTTCCTCTTCTTTCTCTGTCTTACTTATGAATTTTTTCGTACACTTATACCTGCGCATAGTGAATGCCAGGTTACTTCCATACAAGACTGGTTTTTTGCCATTTTGTGTGATCCCCAGGGGATCCCCTGGGGATCACCTCTCATTGTCAAATTGATTTATCTTCCTGAGAGTCAATGAAGAAGCTGTAAAATTGTACTGAGGATATACTACGGCACTGCTATGTTTTCGACAGGAGAAATGGAATCTGAAGATTGCGAATTTTTCGATGATTCCTGGCTCAGAGCTAGGGATTACCGTAGATTTCGATACTGAGATTTCGCTTTTCCCTACTATAAACTTCTTCAGCAGCGCCGCAGTATATCCACAGTACAATTTTACAACTTTCATTGAGTTTTCAGGGAGATAAATAACATTGAAATTGAGAGGTGATCCCCAAGGCATCCCCGGGGGACGGCGAATGCCTGCCCTCGAGCGCGATTGGCTCGTGGGTCCGGTAGGTACGGTGTCTCCACTCACAAACTAATCGCGCTCTAATCAGGATACGCGGTCCACCCAAATAGCACTTTTCACATCTGGAAAAGCGGGTTATTGACATCTTTTGAAGCTGCAAAGCACAGTCTTGGACGCATCTCGTCCAGAGGAACCGAGAGCGATGAATATCCCAAAGTTGTCATTCTGCCGAGCCGTTCCTCTATGAACGGAGCTTTGCAGAGAAGCGCAAAGTTCAAATTTAGTGTCAGCGGCTTTGATTAGCCTAGAGTAAACTATCCCCAATGAACCAACAGGGCCCAAAATGGCTGAAGCCCCATTCAGGAGTTTTTACCGCAATCCTACAGTAGTGAAGAGCAAGCGATGGTTTGCTCTATACTGCAAACCTGTTTGCAAGTCAGCTTTACAATAGGGCATGTGGAGGAAGGCGACTTTTCGAAATAAGGAAGCTATTAGAGATTACGTTCGATATGTCATTTTGGGACATCCTGTGTGTCAGTTAGGCTTGTAAGATGTGGAAAAGTGATCAGTTTTGAGGAAGAAGAAAGAAGAAGTATCGAAATTTGGGAAGATCTTCAGCCATTTGGTTTTTGCAAAAAGTACAAGGTTAGCTTATTTGGAAGTACCGCGCTCTGGGGCGGTATGCATCAATCTCCCGTTTTGAAAGCGGGCAATCATTTTCAATAGAAAAACGCAGCTTCATCATTACAGGTCGGGCGGCCAACCCGGCCGGGCAATCGTTTTTCTATTGAAAATGATAGCCCGCTTTCAAAACGGGAGATTGATGCATACCGCCCCTGAAGTAGCTCTGGAATGATATTCTTGAAAGTCCATTTAACACATTGACGACCGCTTGACACACCATGCTTGACACACCATGTGTGTCAAGCAATGACTACCACGTGGGACCGCTTGACACACATGGTGTGTCAAGGCTTGAACTTTGTTAGAATGACGACTATCTTGGTACGAATTCATTTTAGAAGTTTTCTTGCTGTGAATTTAAAAATGACCTCTACCTTCTTTGTCAGCCTTCCACGCTACTGTAGATATACTGTAGATGGAAGTATGCTTGATTTTATCTAAAAAATGCTGACTAGTCCGTAAAAGGTCTTGGTCCCAAGAGGCAGACAATCAAAAATTTGCGTAGTCGTCAATGTGTTGAAAACGGGCTTTTCGTGATTCGAATAAAATGGGTTTAGTCCATGTCGCGAATTCACCCATTCCATAGAGCAATGCCTTCAGCAAACCCATTTTTAGCTTGTTTCAACTTGTTTACTCATCCATGTAAATTCATTACCACCATACTAGTCGATATTCCGCAAAAATTGACCTTACAACGTTAGTTGTGGGTACTCTATTTTCTTCATCCCTTCACATCTTATAAAATGCTATCTTTGCTTTTCGAGGCGTCCGCAACCAAAGTTGTAAGCAAAACCGCAGAAAGCAGATTTTTGCTATACTTGCTCTGTAAATAAGCGAAAAACGCTAAGATTTCTTACCTGAGATAGAAAGTCTTAAAGTACGTACAACCAAAAGCTTCTGTCTCGAAATCAGGAAAATTACAGGTTTACGAAAGAGATGGTATTGCAAATGCTTCACTTTAGCTCTTTTTACCCTTTTAACACTAATGTTCGACTGAAACTCTAACCGGTCTTCAACTTCAATCAAATGAACAGCTTTTGAACCATCTCAAACAGCATAACAGGAATAGCGCTCAAAGAAAGCCTTTATTTATGCCAATTGCATTTTTTTCACAAATTTCATGGATTTCAAAGGCAGTGGCTCGGCAAATCTCAACCTAGTCAAATTTGCTCTTACCTGTGGTTTTTCAATACACTGATCCCGAAACGCTTTTGAAAGCTTGAAACCCGCGAAAGTGAGCATTTTTTAATGTCCTTCCCTTTAATATTGGACGAGTGGCAAGGCCGGTGACGCTAAATCGTGGCAGGACCCAATGGTTATAGCGTTACGGCGGGCAGCCTCCAATGGTGAGAAGGAAATTGCCAACTCGTCCAGATGCGTGTAAGATTGGCCTGCGCGTGTAAGTTCGAGAGCGATTTTCTCGGCAGGGAAAGCATGCTGTGCAACCGGGATTGCACTGTTTTCATAGTTGGGCGATAAGGAACCTACAGCGTTAAAATCTCGAGTTGTTGGATTTTGCCGATCCACTGCCTTTAAATCGGTCGAGCACATGTTCACGCGCAATCTGGAAAGAATTCCGTAATTTCCTCATCAATAAATTCGTGTTTTGTATTCAAAATTATACAGAAATTTTGCTTTTTTTGATAGTTATCTAAAAAAAGACGTTCTTTGTCTAGTCTCAGTCTCGAAGAACCAAGCTTCTAAGAGCTGTATCATGAACTGATTTTGAGTCTGGTTGTGAAAATGTCTTTGTTTAACTCCAAAAAATATCTGCAAAAATTCCTTCATGGCAGTACTTCATATGTTATGTGAGTGTCTTCAATGTTCATAGAAACGAGAGAAAAAAGCAAAGGCAGAAAGTCTAGAGCCGCGACGTCTTTGGGCACCAAACAATGCTATTTGAAAAGTCCGCATGAAGGACTTAGAGCAGGGCCAGGCACAGATGGTTTGGGGTCAAACTGAACTTCGTTTCTGAAGTTAGAAGCAAAGGGGACATCGTTTTTATAAGGTCCTGGAGGAAGCGCCAAAAAAACGACGAACATGTCAAGTTTGCAAGTTGAATGTGTTCTTTTGCAAGCGCGCGAATTTCAAACTCGAGACTTAAACAAACAAATGGCTTGTTTACAGCGCACAAACAATCACATGGCTCCGAATTTGGGCTATGTGTATGCAATATTACTCCAAACTATTTTATGTAAAAAGTTTCAAAAACTTATGTGTCCTAATTCCGTTCCCGAATTTGTTGGTTTCTGAACCAACCACCAAACCAACTGGGTTGGTTCGGAGCATAAATATCGGAGAGTTCACATAAGTTTTGAACCTTTTTGACTTGGACGATTAGAGTTGTCAAAATTCTATCATATAGTGAAGAGAGCGAATCACACCATTGCTTTTCCTCTTTTTTTGAGCCAAAAGTAGTGTAATTCTGCGCGTTGATAGATATCGCGCTCCAATCACATGCGGTGTCCTTTGAACTATGTGGCGAAAAATGCATCGCCTGATTGTTGAGGCCACAGATTTGGTTGGCCTAGGAGGTTTTTGACATTCCGAGCAGTAAGGCCCGTATGCACGTACATTCCCGCGGGGATGGGATGTGCGTTTTACCATTAAAATGATCCCCGCTGGGGATCCCCTCCCCTCCCCACGCGAACCCGCGTATGCACACCAAGACAGTATCGGAGAAGGGATCCCCTGTGGGGAGGGGAAGTGAACCCCTTTATGCACAAAGGGGATCCAGCGGGAAAATCACTTCCGTTCCGTTTTTCTGTGGTAATTTCCCTCCATTCTCATCTTTTGAGAGCTAGTGTCTTTATTTTGTCGTCGGTAATTCTTTAGTCGTTCCGTATGCGTGTCTGCTGTGATTGCGCTCGGCGCACTGAAAATAATATTTCCTACGCACATTAAATTCGCTGTTTTCATGAATGTTGCTCACTCTTCCCCATGCGCCTATTCCAGCGTAAAGATGTTCAACAATAAAAGTCAAGATGTCTCTGCAGTGAATGGGTGAAAGACATCACGCTGCCAAAAAAAGGAGGGGGGGGGGGTGTCGCGGCACTCAAACCAGAATTTCCACAC